CCCCAAAACCCCAAAACCCCAAAACCCCAAAACCCCATCAGATTCTCATTAGGTTGAAAACTATTAAAAGAATTAGAACGAAGTTTTAGCGTGCTTCAGGCCACTTATCTCTCTCTTACCATCATAATAAGATAGTATTTTGTTGATCATTTTAACAATGGTTGGCCTCACCTCAGACTTCACACTTGGCAAGTACTCCCGTCGAAAATTTTTAAAGACAAAGTAAAAGATTTGGCTTCCCAAAGTATGGGTCAAGAAATCATTGTACCTTGTATCATTGTATTTTTCAACTGACCTGAAAGGAGAGTCACCTCTGAGGGTGAACCCTTCCAAGTTCTTCTGAGAAGTACTCTTATGAGTCTGGTGAAGATATCTGAATAAGTGATAATCTCATACATCTTCATCATTCAGATTGAATCCAAGCTCTGTGAAGAGTGTTTTCATGCAAGATTTGATTCCTTCTAAAGTTTTGTACTCAGACAAATGGAATCTTCTCCTGAAGAGGATCCTGTAGAACTCTCTGAGATCTCGGACGATCTTCTTTTTGTAGGTATCAGCTCTCCTCTTCACAGTGCATGTATCCTTCCTCCTGTTCTTGAGGAACAAGTATTGTGTCCATTTGGGAAGGACATATTCGTAGATAATTTTGTAAATACTTGTGTATTTCATCATGTTATGTTCAAACATCTCTCTGTGTAGGGTCAAAGCTCCTATAATGGTCAGGGTGTATGAGCTTACTTTCTCCTTGGGTATCAGGAATGTTCTCCTTCTTTAAATGATGCTCTAGCTCAACCATGCTCAGGTTCTATAAGTAAGGTTAGAGTTTGATATAGTCTAGTAAAAGTTTAGAATAGTATTTGTTGTACGTAATTGTAGCTCTATTAAAAATCCTGGCAAAGAAATATTAGAAATGATTCGGATTTAAATACATAATTTATCGTGCTTTCGACCAAAAATATCAAATGGGTTAGATAGGTGATAAAGAAGCCAATTTGAGCTAGGATCAGCTATACAGCGCAGATAGCCTGGCATTATTTCAATTCTGAGCAAATTCTGATAAGTACTCTAGGATATTTGTCAAATTCAAAAAAGAGGCTAAAATTCTTTAATTATCTATCGATTGCTAATACGATTCTTTTCTGGATTTTATTCGTGCAAATTTGCGTTCAACTGCTTGACAAGAATTTAAATCTTACTTCAAAGCTCAATGCATTTCCTTGGAAGAAAGGAGGAATTGACAGTGGAGGGAGGGTCTGAAAGTCTGTATCCACAATGCTTTCCTCTCGAGCCGCAGCTATGTTTCATGACTTGGTAGGCAAAGGAAGTGTCGGTCTTAGTTCCTTATCAAATTCTATTGGCAAATAATTTGTTTTCAAAGCATCTTTCAAACTAGGTAGCATCTTTGGAGAGTCATCTTGAGAAGCCATGAGCATTATAGCGAAGCTATTATCATTAGCCATAGATTCAGTGCTATGAGAGGACGACTGGTCAAGTGATCTATAGTATAAATTAGATAAGAAGACTTTAAAGATAAAGAGCTAAAGCAAGCTAGCTTAACAAAAGCAAACGATATATGATGTATGTCAGCGTATTTGATTGCTTTAGGAGCATCATTTACTTACATGCAAATATAGGTTTCTTTATTTTTGAAATCAGCAATCATTAGTTTTTAATTATTAATTATTGTCAGATTCATCTTTTTATATAGTTTCCTTTCGATGCAAAGAATATTGCCACTAGAATTTTCATTGGATCAGATATGATTCAGATTAAATTGAATTCCACTTCAAGGCCTACCTCGAGTATTTAAGCCAAAACCACAGTAATCTATGTGAGAGAATCATACTATCAATAAAACTCAAATTGAGGGTAAAACTTGTAATCGATGTCTCGTTGCTTCAATTTTCCAAGATATTTGGAAAAGATTTCTCCAAATGAGAAGTCCTAATTGGTCGAATCTTCAAAAAGAGCGAAGCCCAATAATAATTTAGTGCCTCAAATATTATAGCTCCATTTAAAGACCTAACTAGCTGCTTAATAACCAACTACTGCAAACATGAGTTATATTTTCAAACCAATCTAATTCAGATCAAATTCGTAATTTTCAAAAACCCATGACCAGAAAAATCGCACGCATATTCCTCTTCCATCACCCCCAAACCACCCAACTCCCCTCCATCCTCCAACTTCCCAGTGAGATCTCAAGAAGAAGAGTCACTATTCCAGTCGCCTCCATTTTAAGCTCCTATCACACAAGAAGCCACGAGAGTTATGCAGTAGAATCGGTTTAGAGGCATTTAATAGCTAAAGAGCTTTGATTAGAGGCAGAAGACAGTTTAGGAGTTGTGCAAGGTACTAAGAAGAAACCTCTCTCGAACAACTTTGAGAATAAGCTATAGCTTAGAGGAAGAAGAAGCGGTGAAGGGAAAAGGTGAGATTTAAGTGTGGTTGGAGAGGGAATTTGGTGGAAGTTTTGGGGATGGAAGGGATAGGGGGAGGGAGATATTGGGGTGCTGGGGCAAGCGAGGGTTTAGGGGAGGGGTGAAATTGAGGGGGTTTTTAGGATTGTGGGTGGAGGATGGATGATGGAGAATTTTATTCAAGAGAATAGGTATGTGAGGATTAGGAGTGAAGTGTAAGTGAATGTTATTGATGAGGGATTATGTTTATGTTACAATAGCTAATCTAAACCTCTGGTTCCATGAATTAGCCTCGTTGTCTCTTAAGTTAAAGGCTGAAGTAATGAGAATGGCATTTGGTACCTCCACTCCCCTTTAACTCCTCCTTCTCAACCCTCTTTCCATCCCTCCCAAACCCTATCAAATATTTCAATTATTCTCCACCTACCAAAACCTTATCCTAATCCGGCTATCTTGCCCCTAAATCCCTCACAAAAATCCTTCCTGCAAGGCCAGCCCCATCTTTATACAGGAACTCTTTCAAGCACCCTCCTCACTAGTCAGGAGTGCCACAGGGCTCACTGAGATTACTCTAGAAAGAAGGCGTATGGTAAGAGTTTGAGTGGGGATAAGTTCTCTGATTACTGTTGAAGTTACTAATAAGTTTTGTGTCAACAGGGAAGAGATTGATTCTATCTGATGTCTCCATGCTACTAAGGATTTAACTGAGTGTCAGTGGTAAACGATGAGGTTTATATCTGGACAATGGAAAACCTCGAGGAACTTATAGTAGTTCAGACTATGGTGTAGTAAGCCTTCTTGAAGGTTTGGCTGGAAGAAGCCTTAGACTTACTGGAAGATACATCCAGCTTTAGCGTTCTGAGATGTTTAGGGATGTAGAAACTGAACTATACCCAAATAAACCTAGTTCGCAACGATTTTGGATTTGGGCAAAACACTTGATATTAACCCAGACTACTGTTCCCGATGGATAAAAAGGAACTCATGTCTCAAATCGACATACGCTCTAAACTAATTCAGCATCAAACATTATTCTATTAAACCTCTCATCTCTACTCACTCTGCTGAACCGACTGTGCACCCAAGGTCTAGACTCTACTTTCTTTCTAAGGCAAAGTACTAGTTGAAATTTTTAAAGGTGTTTAGGATTTCAACCAAGTTTCTAGATTCCTGAAATGTTCTGATTTCAAAGAAGCTTATAAGTAAGAAGATGAGTTTGAAGGGAGAATGGTAGGGTTGGGTAAGAGCGAAGGCAGTGAGGATTTTGAGCGATGGGGTAGAGAGGGTGCCTGGAGAGGAGGTTAGGGAGAATAAGGGGGTATTTTGGACAGGAGAGAGGAAGGATAATTGGGGTGGTGGGTGGGTAAGAGGGAAGGAGAAGCTTAGGTTGGTCAAAAAAGTCGTTACTTTTGATGTTTTGTAGGTTTGTAATGAGGAATCTTTCCCAAGAGATTGAGTTAAATATCAAACCTTAAAATTAATTAATTACGTCAACAATGATGAACTTATTCGGGGTTTTGGGGTTTTGGGGTTTTGGGGG